GTCCAGGAATCGAGACTCCCGCTCTGCTAGGCAGATTCCTGGGAGAAGGAGCTTTGGCTGGTGCCCTCGGGGGACAGGCAGGCATGACCTCCCAAGTCATTTAGAGCTCCTCATTAATTCTGGTAGCATAGTGGTTACGAATCGGGCTGTGAACCTCAGTTCAAAACTACCAGCTATTCCACGGGAGAAAGATGAGGCTTTCTGCTCCCGTAAAGTTTTACAGCCTCGGAAACCCTGTGCAGGGTCACTATGAGTTGGAACCGACTCCACGGCACATAACAACAACAACAACAACAACTAACCCTGAGCAGCCCCTTCCCCAGACAGGGAAACAGACTTTGCCAGAATCTGGGCATTAAGGGGCAGCCGAGTCTTTCTTGTCTGGGCATCTAGGTGGGCGGAGTCAAGCAGGGGACCAGAGGAGTCCCCTTGGTGGAAAGATGAGAAGCTGGGCTGTTCTGTGGACCGGTCAGGCAGACACCTGGACCAGAGGGCCTGGAACTGGGAGGTAAGCCTGGCTGGCAGATGGGGGCGTGGCCAGTGAATGCTGAAGAATGAGTTAGGTACCACTGCCAAGGCCAGCAGGTGAGCTGAAGAGGAAACGGATCCACCTGGAGGCAGGTAGGAGAGGTGCTTGGAGGGGTCTCTGAAACAAGGGCCTGACCCTGTTCAGCTGGGAGGTCAGGCCAAAGAAACCAAGAAGGGCCACCACACTCGGGGCAAGGGGGCATTGATGGAGAGGCCTGTGGGGGTCCAGGGGGGGCATGTGGAGTGGGGAACCCATGCAGAGAAGGGAAGACTTTACTAGAGAAGAAAACAGTGCCAGGGCTTAACTGGACAGGCCTGTGGGGGTTGGGGGAGGGGTTCAGGAGGGAGAGGTGGGAGGGGTACCCCAGGGCAGCACCACAGCCTGGGGTTCTGGCTGGGATTGATTGGAAGGCTGGACCGAGAGCCATGAGGGAAGACACCAGGACACTTGAGGCCTCCGCAGAGGTGTCTGTGGACTCACCTAGCCCCAAGCTCAGGGTGACGGTGACGGTCAGCAGCAGCAGAAGAGGAAAGCGCATGTTGTCCTGGGACCGGGACAAGGCAAGGATGGGCGAGGATGGTGCTTGGGGCTTCCTGGCAGCACTTTATACCTGTGGTTCCCACCCTGCTCCGCCCTTCCCTGCCCTGCGTCACTGGGCACCTGGTTTTCAGGAGCTGGGCTGTGGCTCTGGGCAGATCTGCTCCAGCCAAGGCTGAGGGTTGCTGGCTGTGTTCTTAGGCAGCCTTTAGAGAATGCCATACTGTTCCCCTCGTCCGTCTAGATGACCTAGGACTTGGGGACAGGCTGGCAGAGTTCAGCATTAACTGACATTCTCACTCCTGTGGTTGGGGTGGTCCCCAGAACTGGGAACCTTCATCAGCGCCTCCAGCAGTTCTGGGGTGAGGAAAGGATGAGCTCTCAGAGGCCTCAGCTTCCGCTCCGGTCAAGTGGGCTCTCAGGCCCCTCTCAGGGCTGGAAGAAGAAGGGTGCTGTGGAACCCGGCTTCCCCATGCGAGTGGTGACTGCCATCTGGTGGCAGAAAACAAATAGGCCACCCCACTAGGGGCTGGGAGCCCTGCGAGTCAGTCACACAGGGACCTGGTGTGTCTGCATTGGTTACCTATTAACTGGCCTTTTATCCCCCCTCTGCCTGGTGGGCTCCAGGTGCTGAGGTGGGTGGTGGTGGGGAAGATTAGGAGGGCTGGCAGATGAGGACCCTCACCCTCCCCAAAAAGGGAGGAGCTGGGCTTAGAGAACCAGAGGCCTGGTCTGATTAGGGTTGGAGGTTGGGAACTGGCCCCACCGACACCCCACCCACACCCTATATCCTCCAGGCTTCCTGTGCCTCCAAGGGAGCTGGTGGGTGCTGGGTGGGTCTGTGCATCTCCCAAGGGCAGGGGTGCATTCCCCATCAGCCTCTGGGGTCCTCCTGTCCCTCCCGCCCCAGTTGACTATGAGGTCAGGACTGGAGGGACACAAACATGCTCCCCCTCCCATGGGCCACCCTCCTGCCCTGGGCCAGCCATGAGGTCAGAACGTGGATGTTCTCTACAATGGGCAGCTGTAGGGCTGGCCCCTGTGTGACTGACCAGGGTGGACAGGAACCAAGGACCAAACCAGACCAGAAGAGGAGTCCTGAGTCAAGCCCTGTGGTTGAGTGGGGAGGGTAGGTGTACTTAGCTTCTCAGTCATTCATGCAGAAATACAGACAGGACCGCTCTTTTAAAACCAGGGATAAAGCCAAGTTCATTTCTACAGATCAACACTCCAGTGAGAGCCATGGAGACGTCACAGTGGCCTGTCCCCTGCTAGGGTGTAGCCAAAGCTTCTCCACACACCTAGCTTCTTGTTCAACTTGCTGAGTGTGATGTCTCCCCGCCTGGCTGCAGCTCAGCAGGGTGCTTCACTTTTCTGTGGAGCACACCTGATGTTCTGGTCCCCAGAGCCATGTGGGTTCAAGCAGCTGCTCTTGACACAGCCAGGCTGCTTCTGACGAAGAGCAGCACAGAGAGCTGGCCAGCCCCTAGTGGGTTTGCCCCTGCCCTCCTCATCCCCTGCATCTCTGCTACTCCACTCAGCTGCACCGCTAAGCCCCTACCTCTAACCCTCACAGCGTCTCAAATCTCTGCTTCTATTCTCTCCTGGTAAGCGTTCCTGAACTCCTAATGTGCTAATGAGCCTGTGAATCCTAACATGCTAAGATTCTATTACATGAGAAGCCCCTTGCCCTCGCGTCCCCCTGCCTTGCTTGGAGATGCTGTGGCCCAGGGCCCTGAGCTAGTGAGGAAGAGACTGCAGTGTGGATGGGAGCTTGGTGGGGGTGGGCTGGGTCTCTTTCAGGCGCTGTACCTCTCGGTGCCTCCAGTACCTCTTGTTAGTGCCCTCCCCCCCCGCCCCAGTAGCAGGGTGGCTGTAAATGGGGGTGGAGAACCCAATAAGCACAGTAAGCACAGACTGACTTGTGCTTACCTAACTGATTTGTAGTGAACAACGTGAAATGAAAGCTGTGGTGACATGTGACATTCTTCATGACAGACTTATAAGTAAACACAAGTCAATAGTGCTCCCCTTGCTGACCAGGTCCTCCATCCCCTTCAGGGGCAGTAACTTTGGGGAAAGACTTGGCTTCTGTGTAGGAAGGAGAATCTCAGAAGGTAACACGTGTGAGGCAGCTAGTAAGCACTGTGAGGAGACAAGTAAGCACAGCCAGCCTGGGCCCCTTGCTGACCAGGCCCTCCAACAGCAAGTGGGTGTGTCTAGTGGTGCTTTTCAGACACAGCTGGGGCAGCACCCACCCAATAACTAGTCCAGCACCCGGGCAGGGTCCAGCGGTAATGAAGCCTCGGAGTGCTCTCCGCTGGGAGACAGGACAAGCTGACCACCAAGCAAGCTGTTGACCTGTGAATCAGGGCAGTGTGTCTATGCTGGCCTTGGCTGGGTCCGAGTCAGGCCAAATGGACAGATGATACAGCCCCTCCCTGCTCCCAGATCCTGGCACGCATGGAGACAGACTGAAGGGAGGGCACCATCAAGTCAGCAGCAGGCCGGAGATGACTGCTCCCCAGCGTGTCCCAAGGAGTCAAAGGCATGTCCAGTGGGCACCCCATGCTCCTTCCCAGCCTGCATCCTGAGCTACTCCCTGGGTGTAGGGGGAGCTTGGACGCTGCACTTGGTCCCCCGAGGCCCTGGGCAGCCCACCTACTCCTCACTGTGGGAAGACCCTTGCCTAGTAGCTAGCTGTTCCTGGTGCCTCTTCCCACCTCCTGGCCCAGACCTGTCCTTCCAGTCCCCACCCAAGTGTCCTTGAGGGAGATTCACATGGCTCTCCTCTTTCCTGAGTCACTAAAGGACCCCCACTCCCAGCCCCGTCCGGCCTGCTTCCTCCACACCCCAAACTTGTCATTGGTGAGAACAAGCACCCTGCCCCCTACCCCCAGCCCAGTCTAGCTCTTCAGGTGGCTTACCACCACCCACCCACCTGTGCTGAGCCAGGCTGAGAGGCCCCTGGGATTCCCCTTCGCAGCTGAGGCTGGGGTCCTTTGTTGGGGGAGGAGCACTTGGGTTCTGGGTCCCAAGTATTGGGTGATAGGACGGGCTCTGTCAGACCTCATTGGGGTGGGGAGGGGCGCACCTGGGGGGCTTTACATAAGGCTGACTCTCAGACTCCCTTGGAGTGGGGTGCACCTGCTGGAGCTGGGGTTCACAGAGGGAGCTCTGATAAGGGCGGTTATTCCAGCCCCGAACTGGATTGGGATTACAGGAAGGGGCGGGGGACGGGTACAGTCATCACTGGATGAGGGGTCAGATCCCTTCGTCCCCTTCTACATAAACCCCCTTCCTCATGCCCCACCTCCAGGGCTCTAAGCTACACTGACTTGGAGCCCAAGGGTGGGGGTGGGATGGGATTGGGTGAGCAGTAGGGATGGACCCCTCACTGGATGCAGAGTAACCTTGGGGACTGGGGTCATTTCCTCCCTGTCAGCTCGGATACCAAGGCCTAGCACTTGTCCTAGGAAAATGGACGGAGACTGTCCTTCCCCACAGGACACGTGCCCTGGGGGGTCCCAGAGCTCTTCCTTCTAGGACTAGAAAGCAGGGTGGTTGCTGACGGCCCCCAGGACACCACTGGCTCCTAGACTACGAGGGTAGTGGGGTATGAGTGAGAGGTGTGGCCATGTTTCCTTCCCTGGTGGGTGCTAGCTGATGGAGCCTCCTGGTATACACTGTACAGATCCCCCCTCCCCGACCATCCTTGGAGTCTCCTTTGGAGGCTGGAAACTTCTCTGAGGTCCAGTCAGAAGTGAGCAGCTTTGGAAAGGAAAGGTGGGGTGCTTGAGTGAGGTTCTGACTGCTCCAGCAGATCATCCTGGGTGTGTCCCAAGGAGGTCTAGGGGTGGTCAGGGCATGGGCAGGGCAGTGCTTCTTGAGAGCTTTGTTCCTGAGGGGGACTGCCAGGGAGGAACCGAGGGCATTACAGCAGACCCCAGAGGGTGACCACCAGTGCAGCGGTTAGTGCAGTGGGGGCCGCAAGGCCAGCTCCGTTGCAGAGGTCATACTGGCAGCAGACAGTGGTGGAGGCATGCTTGGAGTAGCCATCGTAGACAGTCTCAAAGCAGCTGGGCACGCAGGACTTGCTCACCTTCATCCTGTACGGGGTGTAGTCTGCAGAACGAGAGGAGGCATCTCAGGCTCGACCGACCACAGCATGTAGGACACGAGGAGGGGGCCCTCTCACACTGCGGACCACGGCCCTCAGCTTCCTGGGGTCAGGTCCCTCCTCCCTCAGTCTCCCACACTCTTGACTGACCACAGCATGTAGGACATGAGGAGGGGGCCCTCTCTTTGTGTCACATTGTGTGGACAGATCACACTGTGGGTGGGGATAGATCATGTTGTGCAGAGAGATCTCATTGTGTGGTAGATCACAGAGTGTCTGTCTGCTTATCAGTTCATGGACACTTGGGCTGTGTCCACCTTTTTAACGACTGTGAATAGTGCTACAAATTTGTGCGTAAACAGAGGTTTCATATCTGTTGGGTGTACAGCTGGGGGGTGGGATTGGTGGGTCATTCTGTTTCATCACTTGTAGGAGGCCATCAAGAATATAACCTAAATGCCACCTTGTGACTAAAATTGGGATAGGTTTTCTTTGATTAATAATAAACTGTCTCTGGGAAAAGGGAACTTAAATTGTGCCAAAACCGCGTGATTCAGTGTTGCTATAACAATGCTTATACTTATGTAACCATATCCTGGTTGGTATCCTGGTTGGTAATCATATCCTTGTTACTACAGAAAACATTGTAACTAGGTAGAATAACAATGACCTAATGCAAAAAGTCCTATATAAACCACATTAGTACAATAAACTTTGTCACTGGCCATCAGCCTTGTGGCCCTTGCCTGATTTTAATCCTCGCCTCTCCTTCGAGCAACTCACACAGTGGTCAGAGTTGGTCTCAGACCTCCACAATCACTTGAGGCATGTGCCTTGATTTTTATTGTCTAGTATTGTACAAATCTCTGTCTTGTTACAGCTTCAGGGATCACGGCCCTTAGCTCCCTGAGGTCAGATCCCTCCTCCCTCAGTCTTCCACATTCTTGGGGCAGGGAGAAGTCCTCCTCCCCCACCTGCTACAACAGACCCCCCCAAGGCAGAGCCCTGAGCTGTTCACTTACAGGTTCGTGTGGTCATGCAATAGGAGACCATGGATGGGCAACGCATGGGGTTAAAGCAGTTCTCACCATTGTAGGCACAGACATGGCAGTCCAGGGCCTGGGCTGGGGGGACAGGGGGTAGAGGGGTCACAGACCAGGAAGCAGGTCCTTCTCCAGTCCACCAGACCCCACCCCATCACTTCCCCAGGCTGTAAGGAGAGCAGGAATCCCGGCTTCCCCTCCTCCATGCTCTGCAAGCCTGTGCCCAGACACGAGTCTGTCTGTCCACCTTACCCAGAGGAAGGCCCACCAGGGTCACCAGGATCAGGCTGAGCAGGGGTACCATGGCTGGAGGTGAGAAGGCCGGGTGGGAGGGGAAGCAGCCGACAGCACCTGGTCCTCGATGCAGCTTAGGTCAGGCAGCTAGCTCACTGTCCATAGGGACTCCTAGTCTTTGCTGAAAGAGATCAGTCAGGGGCACACTGAGCAGCCTCCTGAGACAGGCATGGAGGTGGCTAGAGGGGGAACCAACTCAGCTGGGGGAGAGGACACTGAGGTGGGCGTCCAGGGAAGCAGGGAGGGAATAGTCCAACCAGAGATGTGCTGGAGTCAAAGTGAGCTGGGAAGGCAAGAGAAGCCAGTAGTTAAAGCTTGGAACGGTATTTCCTTTCCACCAATCACAGGAGCTGGCTCACTCTCTGAGCTTTCCCAGAGGCCCAGCAAGGGCATGACTGGGCCTGGATGTGTTTGGGCCTCTCCCTGATACTATGGAGGCCCCACTTCCCTGCTTCTTTCAGGACCCAGCTGGGACCCTTTCCTGGAAGGCTTCCCAACGGGCCGCCTAGGTCCTCAGGCCTGCAGCAAGATGGGCTGAGCCCCGAGCGCAAGGAACAAGGACAGCTTTTCCAAAGCACCCAGGGAGCAAGCCCGAGGGAAGATGCCTGTGATGTGACTGGGGGACTGGAATTGTGCCTGACCCTCTCCAGAGGGAGGAGCTCTGGTAGTGTAGTGGCTGCGAATCTCAAGGTCAGCAGTTCGAAACTACTAGCCGTTCCACGGGAGAAAGACGAGGCTTTCTGCTCCCGTAAGGATTTACAGCTTCCGAAACCCTATACAGGGTCGCTATGAGTCGGAACCAACTCCTCGGCACATCACCACCACTCTCCCGTGGGGACACTCTGTCCCGGCCCTGGCCCAGAACGAAATTAGACTTCCCTTGCTTGAGCCCAACGAATCTGTCTCTCCTGACCTACTTCCCAGAGCCCAAATCAGGTCAGGCCTGCGGCGCGTCCCATCCGGGCTCGGGCTCGGGAAGCTCCGCCCCAAAGACTGCGGTCCCCGCTCGGGGAAGGGCTGCCAGGCGGAGGCGGCGTGGGAGGGGGGCTGTCAAGGGTGACCTCGCCCGTGATCTTCACCGCGCTGAGTTCCCGTTGCGCCCTACACTCACCTGGCCATCCGCCGCTCTCGGTCCGGGACTGTCCGTGTGTCCACCTGTCCGTCCGTGCGCTCCACAGACGAGTGCCGCATCTCCTCCCTACGCTAGTCCTCTGCAGCCTGGGCCCGCCCGCCGCGCGTGGGCTCACGCAGGCCCCGCTCCGGCCCCGCCCAGCGCCCTCCCCTCCAGGCCCGGATCCCCAGCGTGGCCCCGCCCCCGTCCCGCCCCCCGTCCCGCCCTTGTCCCGCCCCCAGCAGGCTCAGGTTCCGGGGGACCAACAACAACCCAGCGTCACGACGCGGCGACACTGCGGACAACCGGCCACTCTTAGCACATACTGCAGTGACACCCACGCGACCCGCAGACGCAGGTGCGCAGACGCAGGTGCACACATACTGCCGCAGCCCGTCCCCCAGCCCATCCCGGCCGGCTCACGACTCTTCCGCGGTCGGAGTCTTCCACCTCCGCGGAGGCACTCCCACCTACCTCCTGAAACAGGCTCCTTGTTCAGCTTGGTTTCCACCTGGCCATTGTGTCAAGTGCTGTGTGACAAGTTACCCATCATCCGTGGGCCTCAGTCCCCACAGCCGTGCTGTGCTAACTCCAGGATGCTCAGGGCCTGAGTCACAGGGGTAAGAATAGCTGTAGCAACAGCTGCTTCTAATAGGGTTGTTGGGAGGACTTGGAGAGCTGGCCCCGCGCCTGGAACAGGCGTGTAATATAGTTACAACGCAAGGAAATTAAAACGTAAGGGTTATTCTGAGCAGTTATTCCGTGCGTACACTGTTATGTACCATCGAGTCAGCTCCGATTCATAGTGACCCTACAGGATTTCCAAAGCTGTATTCTTTCCGGAGTCCTGGTGTGCCTCCAAAGGGTAAGCGCTCCATCTCACCAGCGTCTCGGAAACCTTATACAGGGTCGCTATGAAGTTGGAACGGACTCGACGACACTTAACAACAGCAATCTTTACAGAAGTAGACTGCCTCATCTTTCTCCCATGGATCAGCTAGTGATTTTGAACCACTGACCTTTCAGTTAGCAGCTAAGCACTTACCGTTGCGCCACCAGGGCACCTTCGATAAGCATATAGGGAGACCATTTTGGTGCTAGAAAATAGAAAAAAGAAAAGGGTTCTAAGTAAACTAGTTACCGTGAGGTTTATAAAGAGGAGAAAGAAGACTAGAAGATTCACCACCGGCTCGTTTTAACATGATTGTCTCCCATTGGAAGAAGTACGTGCAGCTGCTCCTTAGTCTCACAGACTTTGATGGTGCTATCAGGAGGGACCCCTTCCTGGAGAAGGACGTCATGCTTAGTAGAAGGCCAGCAAAAACTAGGGAGCCACTCGACGAGGTGGGCTGACAGCAGTTGGTTCAAGCATGAGACTGTGAGGCTGACCCAGGACAGTCCATTGTACACAGAACGGACCCAGAGGCGTTAACAACAACTCCCCTTTGACTTAGGTCCACTGCCAGCAGGCCACCAGAGGGTTTCTGCTCCTCTGGACTATTAACTGCAAGGTTGGTGGTTCAAACCCACCAGCTGCTCCTCATAGCCACCCTGAGTAGGGTTTCCAAGGAATGACTGGTGAGTTTGAATTGCCAACCTTATGGTTAGCAGTGCTTATCCTAAAGTACAGGGTTGCTATGAGTCAGAACCAACTAAACAGCACTTAACAACAACCCAGCTATATATTTTGAAATTCAACTTTAGTAAATCTGACTTCCAACAGTAAAGAAAAGATTAGCAATTTTGAGGGAACGAGAAGCCTCGGGCAGGATTAATTTTGGTCTGTAATTTCTTTACAGTGAATAATTGCTTTTGTGGGTAAGCAAACCCCACAATCAAAGGAAGACATCTGTTACTTATCTTTCTCTTTGACAGTGGTGAGGGGAGAGGGACTGGTCTGTGGCCAGGTGGGTGACCACACCTTCCAGTCCTCTGGACTGCCCCACTCTCAGAAGCCCGTTCTATCTGCGTTAATACCAATATGGAAAAAACTGTTCTTGATCTAGCTTTAAATATGTCAACATTTTAATTTTTATTCTGTCTTAGGCTAAATTTTAAGGGTTTTCTCTAGACCCTAAGATTTGCATTTTTGCTGATATGACACACAAAATGTTTTTCTTTAACCCTAAATGTTTTAAATTTTTTTATTTTAAAGTAAATTTAATATTTTTGTGGGTCCCCCAAAATCGAGTGGGCTCCGGGCATGGTGCTTTCTTCCCAGTGATTGCTGAGTAAGTCCGCTCTGGTCCCAGAAATTCCTCAACCTCAGGTCAGGTGGGCCAGTTGGTCAAGTTTGTTATTACAGAACCCCCGCCCCTTGTGCCAAGGGTTGGGAATACAGAAGGGAACAAAACTAGTCAATATCCCCAAATATTCCAGCTAGGTGGCATTTCCACTGTCATGCATTGTTAATTGCCATCAAGTCGATGCTGACCCAACCCTGTATAGGGTTACTGAGGAGCAGCTGGTGAGCTTGAACCACTGACCTTGCAGGTCAAAGTGACTTTGCAGTGCAGCACATTAACCCATGTGCCACACCAGGACTCCTGCCCATGAGGGAGGAGACACAATAAACACAGGGGTCACATACAGGCTCTGTCAGGGGCCTCAACATCCGACCCTGAGGGAATCACAGGCAACTGGACTTCCTGTCCTGCTTTCACAACGAAAACTCCAGGGAGATACAGCGGCCCTGGGCAGGGCCATGGGCAGTGAGGCAGTTCATGGGGAAAACAGAACCCCTGGCTCACCCAAGTGGGGCCACGGTGTGGAGAATCCTTCCAGGCTGAGGCAGCTACCAGTCCCCTTGTGGTGCAAACAGTTAACCCTAGCTGCTCACCAAAAAGCTGGAGGTAGGGGCCCACCCACAGATGTCTTGGATGACAGGTCTGGTAATCTACTTGGGAAAAATCAGCCTTTGAAAACCCTGTGGAGCCCAGTTTTATTGACACACATGGTGGTGGTGGTTGTGGTCGTAATGTACCGTGGAGTCAGTTCCGGCTCACAGCGACCCTGCACAAGGTTTCCAAGGCTGTAAATCTTTACGGGAACAGAAAGCCTCTTCTTTCTCTGGTGGAACGGCTGGTAGTTTTGAACTGCTGACCTTGAGGTTTACAGCCCGATTCGTAGGGTCGCCACAAATTGAGTAGATTGGATGGGAATTATTGTTGCTTTTAAACTAAAGAGTAAAGAGAAATTGGCTCAGTGTCCCCAGTGGGCAAAGAGAGACAGCGCTAGACTCCATGATGGGGTGAACATTCTCTAGACTCCATGATGGGGTGAACATTCCCCAGGTCAAGGTGCTGGGGACTCCCAGGGCCCCAGGTCTCCCTGTTACCTGTCCCAGAGGTCCCCCAGTGGTGCAGACTAGGAAGGGGTTTCTAGGAAGGCAGGGGCTGGTGACTGTCCTAGGTCTCAGGGTCAGGTGTGGCCAAAGAGGCATGGCACCCTATCTTTACAGACCATGTAGACAAAGTTGGGGATGAGATCAGGGGGTTTAGAACAGGTGAGGGGCACCAAACTGTCCATGGGGCTGTCCAAAGTCCATTTTTGGGCAGTTCTGTCTGAAAGGGGTTAGAGTATAGAGGTTGGAGGTGGGCTGCAGTGAGGGGCTGGGGGTTGTGCCTGGACTTGGATGGAGGGAGTCCTTGCAGGGGGCTGTCCTGTTGCCAACAGCCACATGGGCGAGGGCTCTCTATCGCTCCTGGACCTTCCTCAGGACCAACTCACTGTCCCACCTAGGCAGCCTCCGCTGACCCTTTCCAATTATTCCCTTCTGAAGTTTGCCGGCCACACGCCTGCCTTCCTGATTGGCTGGGGGTGGGGGCTCCCCAGGCACATTCCTGCCTCCAGGACTGTGTATCCAAACCCACTGCCCTCAGTGAATTCTGACTCATGGAGACCCTGGAGGGGAGAGGAAAACGCCCCCTAGAGTTTCTGAGGCTGTAATCTTTATAGACGCAGACGGCCTCATTTTACTCCCATGAAGCGTCAGGTGGGTTGGACCTAGCCATCTCTTGGTTGGTAGCAAAAACTCTTGACCCACTGCACCACCAGGATTGTACACAGAGCACGGCTAGTCCTGCTAAAGTCCGTCCCCAGCCAGATACCCTGACCCCTTGGACTCAGATTCGAATCCCAGCTTGCTGTTGGGTGGCCTTGGCGTCCACCCGGGGAAATGGGGGTGGGTCTCAGACCCATACGACTTTACCCATTTGCCCTCGGCTCCTCTTCCGTGAGCAGGACAGAAGGGTGCAGGGAGGCTGGAGATTCTTTCCTCAAGTTCTTCACGATGCAGGGTGCCAAGTGGTCACCAGGGGACGCGCTGGCCCCGCACCTGGAGCAGTACGCAATCGCAGGAGTGTCGGGTGGGATGGGTGCGGCCAAGCCCGGGAACGCAGAGGAGGGGGAGAGGATGGTGAGTGGGGCGATGCCGGGCGGGGGCGCTGGCCACAGCCTCAGGTGACACTGACGGGCTCTGGTTGCACTAGAGGGTGCCGCGTGCATATATAGTAAGCCAGGCTGAGGAGGTGGAGGACCGCATGGTCAGTAGTATCAGGCTGGCGGGACAGACCAGTTTGGTGGGTGGGGACTCCAGGTGTGGGAGGTGCCGGGGATGAGCAACTCCAGGGGGTCCATGTTGACCTGGGGTCTAGCCCTCGCTGACTGGACAGTAGTGGTACCTCTCACACGGGGCATGAGAACAAAAGGAGGCGATGCCTGGGTGCTGCTGACCCCTCCTCACACCTCTACCCTCTCCACTACTGGGGTTCCTGGGCTCAGGCCCATGGGATTGCCTGCAGGAACAGTAAAGCCTGCTGGTCGTTAGGACAGTGGGGTCTGCCTGAGGGAGATAGGCGGAGACAAGGCTTCTGCTCTCCAGAAGCAGGACCGCCTCCTGCCTGGGCATTTCCCTGGGGAGCTTTCCCTCTCTCTGGACGTAAAGCCTATCCCCACCTACACCCTCACCCCCGAGCTCACAGCAACCCACAACCCAGACAGCTAGGTTTAGGGTCTCAGGCATCACCCTGCCGGTGGATAGCGGGTCTGAGTTACCATCTACCCTGTCTACAATGGTAAAGTCGGGCTCCTGGGCGCAGCTGGGTGCGTCAGACTTGGACAGCTTAAGTGTAGCTGCCAACAGGCCGACTCCAAGCGGTCTGGGGGCAGGACCTTAGCCTCAGTTCCAGACAAGATTGCTGGAGGCTCTGGGGCACTGTCCCCTGGACTGCCTGGGGTGGCCCTTCCACTGCCTCTCAACGAGTGGTCTGGGCCTGCCCCCCTGCCCCCCCCCCCACGACTCCTGTGAGCAGGGCACTTCAGCCTTGCCGCCCACATGGTGACTCCTGATGCTTGAGGGACTGTGAGCCCCAAGTCCGACCCTCCCCAACCCATCCATTCCCCAAACAACTACAGCCACACCGGTTTTGAACCATTTATTCTGATCCAGAGGCTTGAGTAGAAAAATAAACGGAAACCAAACAAAATAAACACAAAAGCCGAGTCTTCAGTGGTTTATGCAGAGGACTCCCAACCTGGAGGGGCAGGGAGCGAAGGGTGTGGCAGAGGTAGGGTCACAGTCTGGGGGCCAGGAAGACGGTGAGGAGGCCTAGGGCCAGCGCCAGGCCGACAGTGGTTCTGGAGAGTGTGGTGGCTCCGTTTAAGCTTGTATTACACAGGTCACCCTGGCAGCACTGGGTGATTGCCGAGCCACTGCTGACCTGGCCCTGCTGGAAGTACCTGGCCTCACAGGAATCCACACAGTCCTTCTTCACCAGGTTCCCGGACAGCGGCTCCACTGGGGAATGGACGCTGTCAGAAGTCGAGGGACGAGGCTGCCCGCCCTCACCCAGACCATCCATGCAGCTCACAGCCCTGGAAGCCCTCGGTGACTCTGGGGACCCCTTCCCTCAGCCAGCGCCCACCAATCAGCGTGGTCCTCCCCCACCCCAGCACTCACCAGTCAGCGAGGTCCTGCAGAACCTCCCTGTCCCCTCCCCCCAGCGCCCACCAATCAGCGCTCACCAGTCAGCATGGTCCTGCAGAAACGGGCGCTGGGTGGACAAGTGTGAGCCTGCTTGCAGTTGGTGGAACTGGTGCATACGTGACACTGGAGAGCCCGGGCTGGGGAAGAAGGCTCGGGGTCTCAGGGACACAGGGATGCTGAGCTCACTGCCCACCCCCGTGCCCAGGCCATCCCTGTGGGCCTGCCAGGAAGATGGATCTGCTCAGACCTTGGGAGCCCCCTCCAGCTAATGTAGGAGTGTCCCATCTGAGGGCCTTTCCGGGCACAGCAGATTCTAGAGTGTGAGTGTGTGTGTGTGTGTGTGTGTGTGTGTGTGTGTGTGTGCGTGCGCGTGCGTGCTATGAGTCCCAGGAAGGCCAGAGAGGGCAGCCCGGCAGGTTCTGGGTACCCGCGGTAGGTCCTTGGTGGGGAGGCTCCTCAGATCCCCCTAACCCTCCAGCTCCACCCTTCTTCCTTGAGGCGTTGATTCTCCCACTGCGGTCTAAGACTTTCTGATTTGGAAATAATCAGTGTAGTGGGACTCCACTACACTGACCATCACACGAACTTTTTTAATCTAAAGGTTCCAGGGCTCCAAGGGTGAAACACCCCATGGTTTCAGATTCTCTGAACCTAAAGGTCAAAGACCCAGCTTCCCAAGTACGGGTGGCTTGTGGATGGACCCAGCCTGGCTGAGGGCCCAGCAGGCTGAAAGAAGCTACCCAGTCCTCACCTGGTCCAGTGGCCGTGGCCAGCACTAGGAGAAGCAGCAGGATCGTCTTCATCGTGGGTGTCGTCTGGAAGCAGCGGTTCCCCCTCCCCAGAGCTCTTATAGCTGATACAGGGGTGGGGTTTGATGGGGCGGGGCAGGCAGTGGCATTCCCCGGACCCAGCGGAGCCAGCGTCAGCCCCAAACAGGGACCTACCCCACCCAACCTTCTCTGCCTTGCACGCAGGGGTGTCCCCTCACCCAGCCAGGGCGTGTCCCGTCACCCCCCCACCCCCACCCCCCGCCTGTCCTGTGCTCTTTGCTGTCCTCTGGGTGTCTGTCCTTCTCTGCATCTCTGTCCCCTTTCTGGGACTGTCTTGACCTGAGGCATTGTCAATTTCATGTTGCATTTGGGTGCCCTTGGGGCAGAGGGGAGGCAAGAGGAGGCTGCCTTCCTGGGCTCTGGGCTCAGAGTGCTCAGAGACCAAGGAAAGCCCCTGGAAAACGGACCCGTGGAAGCAAAGCAAAGAGGAGGGGTAGATATGAGGGTGTGACGAGGTCCTCACCACTGGATATGATGTTGTTGTTAAATGCAGTCGAGTTGGTTCCAACCCACAGCGATCCTGTATGGGGTTTCCGAGGAGCGGCTGGTGAGCTTGAACCGCTGACCTTGTGGTTCAAACCAACCTTGCAGTCCAGCTCATTAATCCACAGAACCACACCAGGACTGTCAAATAAATGCTGGCTGGGATGACTGGGAGGTTTGGATGGGTGGAAGAGTGGACTGGTCCAATGAAGAGGGCAGGGGCTGTTGTGGCCAAGACTCAGGCCCCAACCACCCTGGGGCCAGACCCCCCCACTAAGTGCACCCCATCATGGGTCTAGCTGCCTCTGACTCCCCACGCAGAGGACTCCTCCAAGTTGGCCCTCAGAGCCCTGGTCCTGATGTAGTTAGTGTCCAAGAGATGTCTTCTTACCCCTCCCTCTGAACACAGCCACCCCACACACATACTGGGAGATGCAAGCTCACTCTTTCCCATGGACGTCCCCTTTCTCGGTGTTTGCTGTCCCCAGATAACCCCAGCCCCTTCTTGTCTCACTCTGGACTTGACCAGGAAGGGTGAGGGGGGCTGGCCTGGGGTGGGGCCAGGCTGAGGGGCTCAGACCTGCTGTAGACCCCCTCTGGTCCACCCTGACCTGGGCAGTTGCTCTCTTTGCATCTTCCACCTCTCCTTTAAGTGGGAGTGAAGTCTAGGGCCTGGGGAGGGCCCAGGAGGCTGCCCAGAGGTGGAGGATCTACTCGATGGTACCCCCTGGACCGGGAGGGGCAGGGAGGGGTGCAGACATCCTTCCAGGCCCTCAGGGCTTGTTGAGGGTAACTGGGGTATGCGCTGACCAGATGAGTAATGCAGGTGTATCTCTGCACTCCTCACCTGAAGAAAAACCTCCCCCCACCCCCACTGAGTGAGGTCAAGCTGATGAAACCTGGAACTAAGGATGGTGATTCAGAGGCCATGGGAGCACAGGGCTTAGTGATGTCGTGGTGAATGGCCCTGGGGTGGGGGGTGGCAGATGAGAGTGGTGACTCATGAGGCTGCCACCCCCCCCCCACCCCGCTATCTCTCCTCTCCCCCCTGCAAGCTTCTGGAAGAACGGGTTTGGGTGAGGCAGTGGGGTTCCTGCTGAAGCTAGTGGCATTATAGGGTCCAGGGATGTCTGGGTGGGCTAGGAGTGGAGGACAGCATTCTCTGGACACTGTGGCTGGAGAGGGGCACACAGCCTGTGACCATAAGCAGGAAGCCAGGCCCCAGGAGCCGTGGGCCAGCTGGGCTCTGGGTCAATGGGAGGAACATTTTGTGTTCTCATGGCCGGCTTCCCAAGAGGACATGAATCCTGTGTCCAGGGGGATTCTCAGCAGAAATGGAGCAATGGTCCAGACACCGTCCATGTGGGGGCAGGGTTCTGATAGGAAGGACACCCTTCCCTCCAACACCCTGTGCAGCTGCTGGTGGTGCCGGGAACTGCATTCCCCAGGGGCCCATTCAGGGAAGCAGCTCTCCAGGCCTTTCTTGATAGGTGTCTGTGTGTATGTCACCCAGGGGCTCCCACACAGCCTGTGCTGGTGAAGAAGTGAGGGCCAGAGCCAGCTGGACCTGGCCTAGGTCTCCATCATTTCCTCCCATGACATTGTGAGTACTCTGCCCTGTCCCAGTGACTCTCTCCTCTCCGCCTGCCCCACCAGTCTTGACTTATGATGCCATCAGGAGTGGTGACCAGGAGAGAGCTTGGAAAGTCCAGGGGTGCTGCACCCCAACCTCAGCCCTGCTAGCTCCTTGAACTCAGCTGGCCAGGAAGCTGCACCCAGAGAGACCAGTCTGGACAGGGAGAAGTGGGGCTCCCTGCCCCTCCCTCAGGTCTCTGCCTTCTGGAAGGGGGAAGGGCAGGAATCAAGACCAAGGTCCAGACAGTGGGACGTGAAACCACTGAAGTCACACAGTGTCTGCCCTGAGTGGAGGAGGGTGGGCACCAGGGGACAGAGGAAGCCACAGGCACGTCTGCTCGGAACCTAAGGACACACCCCTGGGCTTTGGCAAGTTTTTCTCTGCCTCAAGTCACTCGGCTCCTTCATTCACTCATTCACACTGTGCCTTACAGAACAGAGACTGAGAGAAGAGAGAGGAGGTCCAGCCCCCAAGGTCCAGGAGCCCAGTGGGGACCAGGGAAGGGACACACAGTCCACCCCCATCCCCACCCCCCACACAAGATTCTGACAACTAGGACTTGGGATGGAAGCCCTGGCTGGTGGAGATTTGGCTGCACTGGGCTGGGCTGGGCTGCTCTCTGGGCTGTTTACACCCTATTGCACCCCACCCTGGGTGTGGGGGCAGCCCCAGGGGAGGGAGGGGGCCCTAAGCCAAGCTGGCTGCCAGGAAATTCATCTCTGCAATCACAGGAATTTAGGGCCCAGGCACTTTGTCTCATTTTTGTTCTTTCACTGGGAAAGTTGTGTAAGCAGCAGAGAGCATGGGGGGGTGGGGTGGGGGATCTGGCCTGGGATGGAAAGTCAGACCGCGCAGTGGAACTGGGCACCGGAGAAAGCCTCTTCATTCCCCAACACTTCTCCAGGCATTTCGAGGGTAGTATGTCCTGGGGTGGCACTGTGGGTTAATGCGCCAGACTACAAAGCCGGTTGAACGGCAAGGTCGGCGGTTCAAGCTCACCAGCCGCTCCTTGGAAACCCTATACGGGGTCACTATGAGTCAGAACGGACTCAATGGCACTGAATAACCACAACAACAATGTCCCCTGGGGTGGCGCTGTAGAATCAGCACTGGACTGCGAATCACAGGGTTGGCAGTTCAAACCCACCAGTTGCTCCTTGGAAACCCTATATGGGCTCACTATGAGTCAGAACTGATTCAACGGCACTCAACAACAGCTTAACAGCAACATGTTCCAACCTGAGCAACAAGGTGGGTCCCCACTTCCACACCTCCTCCCCACCACATGCAATTTGGGGACAAGGGAAAGCTCCCTTCTTAGTCCCCACCCTCAGCCACATCCAAACCCTTGCTCAGCCTGGGGTCTGTTTTTTCCCCACCTCCTCCTGTTGTGTTGTTGTAGGATAAGCACTGGACTGAAAGGTTGATTTGACCCACAAGGTAGTGGTTCAAACCCACCAACTGCTCCTTGGAAACCTTATACAGGGTCACTGAGTCGGAACCGACTGCACTGCACTTAACAACAATCTCCTTTATTCTAACTTGTTTCTCCAAACTGGGGGCTTCAGTGCTTCCCGTGGTTGCCCCTCTCCCAGTCACTCTCAATGTGGGATCAAGTCACCACCCAGAGAGGACCCAGGCTACTGGGATGGAGGCTATCTCCAGTACAGGTCACTTCCTGGGGATTCCTCTCATTCGGTCCCTCCAAGTCTCTGCAAGTCCTGCTCGAGGCTGATGGCACTGGTGGCCACCCATGGCTGGATCTCCCAGAGGCCTCTGCTCTCCACAGGCAAGCCCTGTCTGTTTTGTTGTGGCATCTGATCCCCACACAGGCCCTGGGACACACTGAGGTTGCTAAGTGTTGACTTAGGGTTGAGGGGGGACAGGCTTCAGTGCCAATGCAGTAGGTTCTGGGCTTATCTCCTGTCAGGAAGGGTCTTTGTGCCTCAGTTTCTTCATCTGTCTTAACACCAGTCAGTTGCCCCTCCTCACTCAGTCTTGGAAGCTTGGGGTGTTCTCTTAGGAACTTGGAGACTCCTGTCCAGTTCTCCGGGTGAGGAGCCGCCCTCTGGCAGCTGGCTCTGGGAATGAGCTCGCCCTGCAGGATGGGCCCCACCCCTACAAGTCCCAACAGAGAACTCATCAGACCCCACAGGCCGCTCCTGCGCTTTGTGTGGGGATGGGGCCAAGGATGGTTCCCACCCAGTTGATCCTCACTCACACGATCCTGGAGGGGAGTCTCAAGGTGAGTGAGGAGAGGTATGGACTCCTGGGGCAGCACTATCTGGTCAGCACTGGACGGAGAACCACAAGGTAGTGACTCAAACCCAGCAGCCACTCCTCAGAAACCCTATACTGTGTCACTATGAGTCAGAAGTGACCCAAATGACACTTCACAACAACAAGTGGTGGTATGGTTCTTAAGTTCTTGGCTGCAAAGGTCTGTGGTTCAACCCACCGGCCGTTCCTCAGGAGAAAGATGAGACCATCTGCCTTTGAGAAGATGACGGCCTTGGGAACCCGTGGGCAGATCTGCCCTGCTGCCTGGAGGGTTCCTATGACTCAGGATTGCCCAGAGGGCAGTAAGTGATGTGAATTTCCAGTCCTGGTGTGGTACTGTAGGAAATCACTGCTAACCACAAGGTCATTGCTTCAAATCCATCAGCCGCTCCTAGGAAACCCTATTGTTGTTGTTGTTAAGTGCTGTCGTGTCGATTCTGACTCATAGCGACCCTGTACAGGGTTTCCGAGGCTGTAAATCTTTACAGGAGCAGACCACCTCATCGTTCTCCCGTGGAACCACTGGTAGTTTCGAACTGCCGACCTTGAGGTTCGACCGATTCGTAACCACTAT